CCTCTTCCTTCTCTTTTCATCAGACAGCGCCATGATATCATCTTGCAGTTTCCAATACTATAGAGCCATTGCCCATTTTCTTCCTCAGTCATACTGTGCTGTAAATCCTTGCATCTGTTTTATTTTCAGTGGTAAGTATCGTCAACGTCTTAAGAATTTCCTCAGTTGTTTTTCTACGAATGAGGCTGCTTAGGTATCGTTTTCGCCCCAGCCTTTTGCATGTTGTTGAAACTTATCCAATGATTGACTTGAATCACTATACTGACTGGTTCTTTGTCCATAAAAGTAACCAAACTTACGACGTCGTTGGTGCAGCGTGAAATATTCATCAACTGCATGATTCACTGTTTAATGAAGATAAGCTCTGCTTCTATAATTTCTGACTTGGTCAAACTGCTCTAAAAACTCTTTGCATTTATTTTATTTTATTTCTTCCAAGCGTTACTGTCAAGTTCTTATTAATATCCTGAGCTGCTTTAACGGGAGCCTTCTTTTATTGAATCCAAGATTTTTAACTTAGCTTTCGATAAAAGTCAATAGAAGCGTAGTTTGAAGGTTCTTCCCCTTTTCCGTGTATCTATGATCAGCTGCACATGCAAAATAACTTTAGAATGTTAATGAGAAACTGGGATATCTTTAAAACTCATTAAACTCAGTTTTTTCACGAAATTCGCGAATGGTATTCATTGGAGACATAAACTATATCCTGTACATAGTTTATCTTATACCAAGTGAAACTTTGTCCAACGATTCTAAACGTTGTTTAAACCCTGAGTTCAGGATTTCTGGGTCTATTGTGAATATCATACGGTTTTTAAAGCCTTAGAATCTACCTGTAAATAACGAATTTTCTGATCAATATGAACAATATATAATATCAAGAAAGCTACGAAGGCTGGTTTTGAGTTTGGGATCACCATTAGCCTTTTCTGTGCTGGAAATTGGAAAATTTGAAACTGAGAAAAATAAATAGATAAATAAGATAAAGGATAATCTGGAGGAGAGAAAATCACCTCTCTTCATGAAGCCTAACGAACAGCAGTTTGTTTTACGAAACCTTCGGTCACATCTCTTTGCATTGTGAGTAAATGTCACAAAGTCCATCAAGATGT